TCTTGGTGGCAGAGGACTCCTTGCAAGAATTTGCCCATGCACTTCTGAGCATGGCGCAGTTCTGTTCCGAGCAGGAGCCCGTTTGGCTGTTCTTGAGGCAAAAAGCAGCACTGTAAGTGAATGCAGATGCACACAGCCCCACGGGCTCCTGGGGTCCTCTTTAGTCAAAGTGTTTGGTTCAACACGTACTTTATCATGCAGGATACGTACATGGATTTTCCACGCTGTTGAGCTACCCAAGCTTGCATTAAAATCAGCAGATATTGTGGATGCCCACGATCTCTTCAAGCCAGTCCACAAACTATAACATGCCTTTCATGCAGATTTAAGGCATGGTTAGGTTACAGGTGTATATTAACCTTTAGTACCGATCCTGCCTTTCATCACGAAGACTGAACACCTGAAGGAAAAAAAAAAAAAAACCCAATAAAAGTGACTATTCAATGTTGATTGTTTAGCTTCTGCATTTTACTTTACTGGGCAGTGGAAATAACCTGGCCCGTTTTTCTTCTTACATAATCTTTTCTTGTGTCCATAGTCAGCTGTAAGACAGGTTCATGTGCTCCAGCACAGAGGAGCACTATTGGAGTCACAAACACGGAAGGGAAATGAGCCCAATAGAAGAAAGAAGCTCCCAAGGGCATTGTCTACCTCGCTCGCTCTGTGCCTGTACTTCCCTTTACACAAACACGGTTAAAGCCTTAGCATTAATGGTAGATTTTGTAGCATATTGTATTTAGGAGAGAACTTTAATTTACTTGGTGCTGAGCCTTTGAAAAGCTACTTGATAGCCCTAAATAAGGATGAATGCAGAAGAGGAGCCCTTCCTACTTTTATTCCACAAAACAAGCTCAATGTATTATGTCAGTGAAATGTCATCACCTTATTAATTGTGAAATGTCATGAACAGTAATGACAAAAGATCATTGTTGTGATGATAATTATGTAATTCTGATGCAATACTACAACCAAAGGCATTCCAGTGGTCTGAAACGTCTTTCTGGATGCCATTGTGATGCATCAGTAAGGACACGGAGGCTTTAAAAGTCAGGAATATTTCTGAAAAAAAAAATGTGGTGGCAGCCCTCACTTTTTTCCAGTTCAAATTCAAAGATACTTTGAAGTCATATTAAAAATACTTATGCCCCATTTTTTTTTAAGATGGAACTTTTGCCTTTAAAATAAACCTACCAATATTGTACTCAATTATCTCATCTTCTTTGCTTTAAATGTAGCTACACTTTTTGGAACACAATACCTTCAATTTCATGTTTTTCTAGGCCAGATTCAGACTTGGCTTTACCAGGAGCCACTCCATTGAATTCAAGAAAGTTTTACTCAATTACACTGTGTAAATGATGGGACTTTAACAGTAGCCCAACAAATCTCATTTTCAAAATAACCACAATGGTGTTTTCTGAAGAAAATAAAAGAAAAGGAGGGGAGGAGAGGGGGGAAGATGAGCTCTATGGAAAGCAGTGCTCCAGCCACCCTGCAGTACTAGACCAGGCTGACGTTAGCCGTAGAGGGTGAAATGGGTACAAAGAAATGCTTCCAGTTCCTCGAGTTTCTTTTTTTTTCCCTCCAAGTGAAGAAAGTTGCTATTGTTGTTTGTTTTGAAACTGATAGCAAATGCTGAGTGCAATGACTGAAGGCGGAATTGCTGGAAAGATCGGCAGGATGAGTTCTTGAGGGGCACGTTTTTATGCTTCTCCCCATCTGCAGATCATGCCACCCTTGCAGAAGGAGCACGGCACTTCTGCAACAGAGAAACACAGCAGTTGTGTCCTCCCTGGTTCTCCCTCTTCCTAGAGGACCTACAAGAAAATCCTTGTGGCGACACTGTGCCTCCTCACTTCAGTTGCTTGCCTACCCTTATTATGTACAAGGAGGCCCGGTAATTATCTCTCTCCTGACCACGGATGTTTCCCAGCAGTGATTTCTCCTTCAGTATATCCAAAACACCAGAGGGCAGCAAAAGAGTTAAGGCAGAAATTGCAAAGTCTAAACTTTCCCAGCATTAACAACTGCTGTATGGTGGTGCAATGGGATCATGTAAGAAGGTTGAAATGACTTAACAGTATCAATTCACAGTAAAAGTGGCAGAAAAGTGATCCAATTATGGCAATACCAAAATTGTGCAATAGCTACTTCTGATTAGCAGTGGTGGAAACAGTGGTGAGCCATATGTATGGAAATGGAAGAGAAACACCAAAAGGCTGTTAATAGATTGGAGAAGTGGTCTTTAATTTAGCTCTAAATAAACCACACAGTAACATTACAAGCCTTAACCATTATGTGCTGCTTCTTCTACTACAACAGCTACATGCACCCTGCCCTTTGGGGCAGAAATCACAGAATCACACAGAATCACAGACTGGTTGAGGTTGGAAGGGGCCTCTAGAGATCATCCAGTCCAACCCCCTGCTCCAGCAGGGACACCCAGAGCACGGGGCACAGGGCGGCATCCAGGCGGGTTGGGAAGATCTCCAGAGAAGGAGACTCCACAGCCTCCCTGGGCAGCCTGTGCCAGGGCTCTGGCACCCTAACAGGAAGACAGTTCTTCCTCGCATGGAGATGGAACTGCCTGTGTTTCAGTTTATACCCATTCTTCTTGTCTTTTCAATCTTATGCAAGTAATAAAATTCAGGATGGTGGGTTCTCCTCCATGTAGCCCTCTGGTGAGGTTTAAAAGGTCTCCAGGCAGTCCCAGGGCAGAGGTATCAGCCTCTCCTTGGACGGAAAAAATCACTATTTAAGACAGAGGACCAAATCCAGCCCACTGCTTCCCATTTGGGAAGAAAGAAATTAGGAATCCTCTAAAAAGAAATTAAAATGTTACTTTTCTGTCTGGGGCTGTCTGTCAAGCATTCTTCCTAAAAAGATCAGTTCTGTTTGCCATCCTAAAACACTTAATCAATTTCAAATGAAAACAGCAACTCTAATTAAGGGGAGGAAAATCCCACTACAGCAAAGGAACCATTATTAAGGTAATCTTTTTCTTTATAGCTCCTGGGGCACTGTTCACATGCAGTTGCTACTGCATATGCTGTTTGTGCGTCACCTCCTCTTCATCAGCTCCGTGGAGAACAGACTGTTAGCTTAATAATAACAATAACAACAATAATAATAATAAGTCAGCTTTTCACATGAGTTACTCAAAGCGTGAGCACTAATTGAACGTTACGGTTACATTAGCCGCCTTTGCCGCACAGTGTCACCTCCCTGGCAGCRGATGGCATAGGACTCCATGACCGTGACCTCCATCCTACCAGTGCCTCCACGTAGGTGGCTCCCTGTCCCACRGGGATCTCCAGCCTCCTTCCCAATTGTATTTTAAAGCTTGCAGATTTCCAGTGCCCCCGCTCACCACATAGGAGCACAGGGGCAGTGTGCCATGCCTGCACAAACCRCATCCGCCCGTCAAGGCAAAGGGCTAGCGCCCGAGTTACTGAGGGTGGCAAAAGCAACATTGTTAAAGAGAAGCAGAGGGAGTCTTGYTTGTTTTCCTGGGATTCCATGATGGATCTCTCTCAAATGTCCTGATGACAGGGTGCTCACACATCATGTAATTTGATTTACATAGATGGGCCCTCAGATCTCAGTTGCTCAAGACCTTTGCCATGAAGCAGGGAGCTGTAGCTCTCCCTTCCAAGGCACCACCTAATTTCCAGGGGCCTGGAGGATCCAATTTGGCGCCTCTGGGGGGAAGGCAGGGGGTGTCGGCCAGTGTGCTGTGAGACACACTTGCCATGTTAGGGGGAAGAGCTGGAAGCCCATCTGCCGACTGGGTAGTTACCTGTGAGGCAAAAAGTCTAGGATGACTCCAACGGAGAAGATTGAGTAACAGATGTTCCAGCATGGATGACTGTATTCAAGACTTATATGCAAGACTAGCACGGGATTTGAGACCAGGCAACTTGGCCACTTGCCGTGCCAAGCCCGAGCCCCTAAGGAAGTGCGACCCCTCGCTGAACRTCGGGCCCATGGGGAACCCGCGGGACGCTGCGGGTGGCTCCCAAGCAGCCCGCAGCCCCTCGGGCAGCGGGGCCGGCCTCTCGGGCAGGACGGCACCGGCGGTGCACGGCGTCTCCGTGTGTATATCTGCTCTACGCCTGCTCCCCTCCGCACCGGCGCCCCCCAGCCCCGCTGCACCGCCCCGGCACGTCCCGACGGCCGCGCCGGGAGCGGGCAGGGGAGCTCCCCGCGGAGCGGAGCGGAGCGCCGCGCCACGTCCCGCCCCGTCATGGCGGCGCGGGGGTTAACGGCCGCCGGGCGCGGCGGTTGCGACGGTTACGGCGCGCGCGCCGGCAGGGGGCGACCCGCCGCCACGAGGGACGCCGCGTCACGTGACCGCGGAGCGCCCGCTCCGGGCRGGAGGGGTCAGGGGACCCTGCTGCCCCCTGCCTGCCTGCGCCCTGACGTCACCGCCCCGCCGTCTCCCGGGCGACGGCTCCATCAGCGCGCGCGTCAGCGCAGCGCGTTGCCCGGCAACGCCCCGGTGCCTCGCTCCCCTTCAGCCTCGCGCCCGGGCGCGCGTCGCGCTGGCGTCAAAGTGACGTCAATGGCCCCGTCTCGGCTTTCGGCGGTGGGGGGGGGCAGCGGGGCGGCGCGGCGGGGCGGGGGACGAGGAGGAGGAGGAGGAGGAGGAGGAGGAGGAAGAGGAGGGGGGCGGCGCCCGGGAGGGCACAACCCACCCCGCGTGCTCCGCCGGCCCCCGCCGCGCTCCCCGCACACACACACGGACACACACACGCGGGCGGCACGGCACGGCACGGCGCGGCGCGGTCCGGTCCGGTCCGGCGCGAGCAGCCGCCGACAGCGCCCGCCGGCTCGCGGCCGCTCAACGGTCGCGCAACGGCCGCGCGCGGCGGTTGGGCGGCGCGGCGCGGGCGGAGCGCTGAGAGCCGCCGCGTCGCGGCAGCAGCCGGAGGAGGCGGCGGCGGCGGCCGGGGCGCTGCCGGGGGCTCCGTGCGGCGCCGGGGCCGCGCCGATGTGGCCCTCGTGAGCGCGGCCCCGCACCCGCGCGCACCATGGTGATCATGGCAGAGCACGCGTCCGTGCCCGCGCCGCTGCCCGCGCACGCCAGGCCGCTGCGCGTCGGCTTCTACGACATCGAGAGGACCCTGGGCAAGGGCAACTTCGCCGTGGTGAAGCTGGCCAGGCACAGGGTGACCAAGACGCAGGTGCGTACGCCGTGCCGTGGCCCGGGGGGCTCGGACAACCCCCGGCGTGGCGTTTGCGGAGCTGCCCGCGGCGGGCCGCGCTGCCTCTGCGAGCAGCGGCCACTAGCGCGGCGCCGGGCGCGGGGGGCAGCGGCGCCGGGCGCGGGGGGCAGCGGCGCCGCGCGCGGGGGGCAGCGCGGGCAGCGGCGCGAAGCTCCAGCCCGCACGGCCGCGCTTCTTGGTGCGGCGGCTCCGCCGAGCTCCCTCCTGGCTCGATGGAACTAACAGAGCTGAGGAATAAACTTAAACAAAAATCATACTGAAAATAGCAGTTCTAAGCGCTGCGATAGCTTCAGTGAATAACTGAAGAGTCTTCGTTCGCACTAACAGTCTTAGTTCGTGAAGAGTCCAGCGAATTAAGGACTTTTTGTAGACTTTAGCCATGCTTATTTTATTTTGTTTTGTGTGTGCAGTGTGTCTCTTTCAAAAGCAAATCTCACAGTGTCTAACCTTGCAAAAGCAGTTTGTTAATGTGCATCGGCTGTATTCTGTCTGCAATGTCTGTACAAGTCGTGTTGGTCCCTGTAGCAGAAAACAGTCTTTTGTAAGAAACTTCCCCACTAGGATGGGATGGATTAAAAGATTTGCAGAATCCCTCCAGTGCTAATTTCTGCAGTTCCGTTCGTTACCTTGTGTGCAGTTCTTTAACACAGAAAACAAAAATGAAAAAAAAAAATGTGCTGTGAATTCCGTGCAGTTTAGAAAAACAGAATCAGCTTTGTTGAACTGAGGCTACTTTATTTGTATTTTTGTGAATTTGTGGGGACTTTTTTGGGGGAAGAAGTTTTTAACAGTAGGAGTTTTGTAATATCTGGGGGGATTTTTTTTTTTTTAATCCACAGGTTGCAATAAAAATAATAGACAAAACGAGGTTAGACCCAAGCAACCTGGAGAAGATTTATAGAGAAGTTCAGATAATGAAGCTTTTGAATCACCCCAACATTATCAAGCTATATCAGGTAAGAGGTCAGCTTTTAAGTGCAGCGTGTAGATGAGATGTGCTTGTGCTCTCCTCTTGCACATGGTTTTACATTGAATGTTTGCAGAAAGAAAGCGTATTTAAGCAGTTTTTGAAAAAGCATGCTTGTATTAAACTGGTGTGTTTAAAAGACATTCAGCATTCTTTGAAAAAGTTTCTGTTACTTTAGACAGCGTATTGACAGAATAGTCCCCAAAATTTACAAGAAAAAGCAGACTGAAGTTTGCTACGGTCAGATAAAAGGAACTGATTGCCTGCCTTGTCTTTCCTAACTTGTCTTTCCCAACTCCTCTGCTCTTCTAGTTTAGAAACCTGAAATCTTACTTGCTCTTGATAGGAGGAAGACTTAGAGGCATGTGGTGTATCACAGAAGCAAGTGCAAAAGTTGCATTTGCTGTCAGTGGAAGGGATTTGGAAAAAMAAATAGCAGACAAATGGAGTCAGTCTATGGGGCAAAAAAAAAAAAGTCCATAAATGTTCATATTTCAAGATATGTCAAGAAATAACTTGTTTTATTATTCTGTTCTGGTTTGTGGTTTTGAAAGGGAGTTTAAAGGACCTATTGCCATAGAGTTTTACAATGTAAATTTTGGGCTGGATTTGTTCAGTTCCTGGAGGTGCATATTTTAATCAGTAAGATTAACGCACAGAAAACAGGAACACAGCTGCCTAGTGAGCAAGGACTGCTTTGCAAAGTCTAAATATTTGATCTAATTAGTATTTGGTGTAATTTCCTCTTAATCGCCTTAAATAGTGCCATGTGAATTGAAGAAGAAGGTGATGTGTCAGAGTCTGTCTAGACCTGTACAGAAGGTCATGAGGGGAAATGAATGGATTAAGATATGAAACGGAAGATCTGAAATTCTGTGTGCAGTAGTAAACACTATCATCAGCTGCAATCTCACCATTGGGTTTGTTAGCTTTAAAATAAATAAATAAATAAATGATTAATTAACATGTGAGGTTGACGAGCCAGTAAAGCAGGTGCTTAGGCAAGGCCTTATTTTTAAAGGCATTGACACACATGAAGCACTTGGTATTTATAGTATTAACCACCACAAGAAAAATTGTTCTGCAGTAACATTTGACGTCATTGTTGCCTATGGGGCAGTATAGGATACACAGAAGCGTTCTAACAGATCGGTTGATTTCACTCCAGTGGAATGGTGTGGGTGAAAATACTATTTCGAAGCTTTTGCAGAAGCAGGTTAAATTCCATCTAGTTGAAGCACTTCACTTGATTGAGCAAATGACGTTTGTAGGGGACCGTAATTTCTTTTCAGCAAAGTTTTCTTTTCTTTGTTGTTGTAACCGATGCTTTACCTGTTTGGTGGAGGCCGGGAAGCAGGGATGGAATTAGATGACATACCAATGCAGGGTGTGTGTTCTTGTATTATTTCATCATTGTTTTAGTTTCAGCGCRGCATCTTAATTTCATCCAGCTGGCATCTTTCCCAGAACACTTTCCTTCAGTTTTGTAAAACTGGGAACCTCTCTTCCTTTGCTCCTTGTTTGTTTATTTTCATTTTGTGTCTGTGTATACTTGTAGTGAAGGGAGGACAAGAGTGTTTTAGAAAGGTTGCATGTTAAGAGTGCTGGAAATAAGGGCCTTTGAAGTAGTGTTGATGGTTATTTTGATTTATTTATTTATTTATTCATTTTTAATAAAGCCCTTTTGTGAGTCTCCTTCCTCCAAAACAAAGCATCCAGTCCTTCAGCATCCCATTTCTGGGAAGTGCAGCATTTCAAAGATGTGCTATAGGAACTGAAGCTGAATTTGGAAATATACCTTTTTCTGTTTAAGCATGTGGGTTTTTTTTTGTTGTTCTGTTCTTTTCTTTTCCAGTGACGTGTACTATTCTGACCAGATTTATCCTGCATCCTTCTATAATATTTACACCAACATCAAATGTTTTAAGGAGTTATTAGTAGATTGATAGAACTTTAGGCTACATAAAATACTGTTTACTTGCCTCCCGGGCATGCCATCCCCTGGCCAGGTCCACATGGGAATGGAGAGTTGGATACTACTACTTTATTTGTCTGGGCTGCAAAGATCTCTCCTAATCTGAGTATYTGCTAACCCTGAAACAAAGGGCTTAAATCAAACTTCAAGTGTCTTTCCATTTCCAAAATATGGCAGATTAATTGTAAAACTATGTCTATATGATTTAATATAAAGTAATTCAGGGACGTGTATAAAATTCCTGGAATGCTTATCAGCTATGTTAGGGAGATTAAGGTGGCATGGTAATCATAAGAAGAACAAGGACATGGGGAGGCACTGTATATTTTAGGTGCCTGTGCATTGATTTGTTATCTTTTCATTAGCAGTTTGCATGGGAAGAATACTGTGTTGCAAAGCTTAGATACCCTTGCTGCCAGCTGCTGCGGCAGATGAATGACTCAACTGATATATTTGAGAAGACAYATAAAAAAAATCAAACTAGAGAGATGCACATTTTTAAACGTACCCTCTCTTATATCTTGACAGGTTATGGAGACAAAGGATATGCTTTACATTGTTACTGAGTTTGCCAAGAATGGAGAAATGTTTGGTAAGTTGTCACTACTGAGGGCAATAGTTCTTTAGATTTAGAAACCGTAGCTGTATTGTTGTCATTCTTGAGTAATATATATTCTGATTAACCAACTGCATCTGCAGGATTATGAAAAYTTCCTCTGGGTGTTGCTAGTTTTCACGCCTCTTATTTTGTATTGCAGATCATCTGACCTCCAATGGACACTTAAGTGAAAATGAAGCACGGAAGAAGTTTTGGCAGATACTCTCTGCAGTGGAATATTGTCACAGCCACCATATAGTGCACAGGGATCTCAAAACAGAGAACCTTCTGCTAGATGCTAACATGAATATCAAATTAGCAGGTAATAATAAAAGATTACTCCCCTTAAACAAATTCAGTCTCCTTAGGATCATCCTATAAATGTATTGTAACTGAAAATAAAAGATTAAAGAGATTAAATGAGATTAAATGGATAGGCAGAGAACTGACCAGCACATCTGCTCCCTTCCCTTTCTTTTCTTTTTCTACTTCTGAAATGTGTGGGTTAGTGATGTCTCACTCTATACTTTTCCTTTGTTACAGACTTTGGCTTTGGAAACTTCTACAAATCAGGAGAGCCTCTCTCCACGTGGTGTGGAAGCCCACCTTATGCAGCCCCAGAAGTTTTTGAAGGCAAAGAATATGAAGGACCTCACCTTGACATATGGGTGAGCTTGGTATTCTCTAGCAATTGCATTTCCCTCTTTGTAAGGGTCTCTGGGCTTTCATAATCGCTGCTTCTACTGGAATCACTCACAGGCTGTGCTGTTTTCTGTTGACAGAGCCTTGGGGTGGTRCTGTATGTCCTGGTCTGTGGTTCTCTGCCCTTTGATGGACCCAACTTACCAACTCTGAGGCAAAGAGTGCTGGAGGGGCGGTTCCGCATCCCTTACTTCATGTCTGAAGGTGCTTTTTTTCATGCCCTTAACATTGGAAAAGGGGCTATGGATAAAGGGTGACGAGGAAGGAATAGCTGTCATGTTCTTTCTTGGGACAATGACAAATGGGGCTGGTTTTGTAGCTGGCAATCRCTTTCTCTTTTGGGTATCCAGTCATTTCTTCAGGGCAATGCTTATAGTTGAGGGGAGTGGTTGTACATGTTTTTCTAAGATGTGCTTTATGGTTCATCTAAAACATGGTTGTTTCTTTTCTTGGAATATGTTTGTGGATGAAAAAAATACTATGGGGAATACACTCTAGTTTGTGGAATATTCGCTACGGAAGAGGAGGAAAAGGTTTCAGTGAGACTAGTCTGCATTGCTGAGATGGCTGTAGTTTTAAAATATTCTAACTGTGCAAAAGGGGTATATTTCAGTGAAGTGGTGTTGTCAAGGAYAGCAGAAGTAGTGGAGCTTAGTGCTGTTTCCTGAACACATAAACAGTCTGGGGAGAAAAGGCACCTGAAGAGTATTATCACCTCTGATGGTTTGGATTCAAAAAGCAAGTCGATGTGTGTCTCTCCCGAGATGAACACTGTGTTTTGAAGTGTGGCCTCGGCCACGTTTAGCCATGAGCCATAYGTGTAGTTCAGTAAGTTGTATACAGCTGGGTTCTGTGCTAAATTCTGACCTACATAAAGTGGTTATACTATAAGTAAACTTCATCCACTCAGGGCTAGTTCTCCTACTAGATGAAAGCTCACCTGACCCCTGCTGATATCCAGTACAGATTTGTTTCCCATAATGACATGCTGGTTTTATGAAATATATATATAATCCTCTTGTGAGTTTCACTTCAAGACCCTGCTGATTTTGACTATATGGTAGTAAGGCCTGGCAGCAGCTGCTCAGAAACCTTTAATTCCTGTTTTCATAGACRTCAGAAATAGTGTTCCTGGGAAGGTTTCTTAGCAATGACCTGGGGCTCGACTATTTTTTTACTCATTGCTCATGCATTTTCTTTGTCATGCAGACTGTGAAACACTAATCCGACGGATGTTGGTTGTGGACCCAACGAAGCGAATAACCATTTCCCAAATAAAACAGCACAAGTGGATGCAAGCTGACCCCTCTCTCCAGCAGCAGCAGTCTTTGTCCTTCTCCATGCAAAACTACAATTCCAACCTGGGTGACTACAATGAACAGGTCCTTGGAATCATGCAAACACTTGGCATCGACAAGCAGAGAACTGTCGAGGTGAGAAATGCTTCACCGATTTTTCTGGTTCTTAACTCATTTTTGAGTATGTTGCTATGCAGCCTTAGCAATGAGTTTTGGCTGTTTGTGTCCTGAGTTTTCCGTAACACCGAGATCCTTGGAATGTCTTCTAGTCTCTCCAGAACAGCAGCTACAACCATTTTGCTGCCATTTATTACCTGCTCCTGGAGCGCCTCAAGGAGTATCGAAGCAGCCAGCTCTCCAGTCGTCCAGCAACTGGCCGTCAGCAAAGGCCGAGGAGCTCTGACATAAGCAATATCGAGGTAAGAAAGGGAATTCTTTCCCTGGAAGGCTGTGTCTTTTGTCTCCATTACTTTCTTTTTCTTTTTCTTTTTTTTTTCCCCTCTTTATTATTTCCTAAGGGAAAATGTAGAATGGCAAAACAGAAGATGGTGACTGTGAGGCTTTTGAAAGTCAGTTCTAATCCTTGCATCCTCTAACCAGAGGACAAGGCCTACCATTCTTCAGCAGGAGGCTGATTAAATACTAATGGCCCATTTCCTAATAAGCAGCTGTAGATGTGGCCCAAGGAATAGTCTGCCTCTGGTGCYGGTCACTAATGAGCCAGAGGATTAGGTCTCATGGAAATTTGCCCTCTCAGGCGTGGATCAGTTACTCTTCTTTGTTACACATCCTGTAGGATCCTCAGAAGTGCTCCATGGTTTTTGTGGGTTTTCTTTTCTTTTTTTTTTCTGACATTTACTTTCTTTTCTTCCCTTCCTTAAAGGGTGCTCTGGATGCCTTTTTTGAATTACACTTCCAGTTTAATTGCCTCACTTGAGACGAGGAGTTTTGTGTTTTTGTAGGCATTGAAAAAAAGTAACTTTGAGGGAATGTGCAAGGAGAGAGCTTGTAGGGAAAGAGTCTTTGAAATTCCTTGAGCTGACAGTGTTTGAAGTCACTTGGAACTGCAGTGTATGTGATGGCTTCCGTGGATCTTTCCATCTTCAGATGCCTCAGGATGGTCTCACTAGTGAAACTCTGCGATCATCTCTGCTTTACCAGCAACCTCAGAGTCTGGTTCAGCCACCCTTGCAGGCAGAAATGGACTGTGACTTGAACAATCCACTACAGGTTGGTGTTCTCACCTAAATTGTGTTCTTTCTTTCTGTCTGTCTGTCTGTCTACTGAAACAGCAGAGGCTGTGACTCTGTTCTTCTCTTCCTTGAATCTTTTGTTCAATGTTTGAGCATAGTGGTRTAATGCCTGCTTACCAATGAGTGCTGAAAACGTGCTAGAGAACTATGTACAGCATTAGCAAGTAGTGCAGAAGCACCCTTCACCCTGTAAACTGACCTGTTTTGCAGCCTGTGTTCTTTCCTGTGGATCCCAACTTCAACGGCCTTTTCCGGAACCGATCCATTTCCCCCAACAGCCTGCTGGAAACCACCATTAGTGAAGAAGTAAGACAAGAGAAAGAGCTGGAGGATGAAATTAAGGGGTACGACCCCATCCGCATCCCTAACAACACCAGCAGGAGGCACACGCTGGCTGAGGTCACCACTCATTTCTATCAGCACACCCCTCCATGTAAGTAAGTTTGTGAGGGAAGGAGGGTATCCACAGCTGGAGGGGAGGGATGGAGAAGGCCCGTGAGGACAGACAATTGCTCAGAGGCAATGTGCTAACTTTGCTTTGACTGGGGTAGAAAAGCCTGGCGGGTGCACTCTGCCTTCCCCAGTGCTATCTTGCTGTGAACAAGCATGGATCTTATTCCTAGTCAGGCAGACACACTGCAGTGCTTATTTCATCTAGATCGTCCTTGCAAGCAGGACGTAGCCCTTCTCTGCCTGCTTTCCCTGCCTTTCTATTGTGCGTGGGGCCTGAGTTGGAAAGCAATTTGCCACTAACCATATTTGGTACACGACTAGACCCCTTGAACTAAACAAGTGAGCAGAAAGATCTGAAAACAAAACTCACCCCTCRGAGCTATTGTGCTCAAGAGGCACAGCCCCCTTGCTGGAGTTGAGCAGAGCACTGGACGCCTCTGTGGCTCGCAGCTACTGCCAGCGTGGGTGGGCAGAATGCTCTGATGTCACGTTTGTTTCTTCCTGTGCTCACCTTGGGAATGCTCTTTTTCTCCTTCCGCCCTCTCTGCAGGTATAGTCATTTCCTCTTCAGCAAGCCCCACAGAAGGAACTAGCTCAGACAGCTGCCTTACTTCATCTTCAAATGACAGCTCGGTGACCCTGAGCAGTTGTTTGGCAGGTCAAGTAATGATGGGGAGCCCAGCCACATCGAGGATGACTTCAGCCTTCCTGGCTTCCCAGTCTGACGCTCCCGTGTTACAAGCCCAGGGCTGCATGGGAGGTGCTTCTCTGCTGCCTGTCAGCTTCCAGGAGGGAAGACGAGCATCCGATACCTCATTAACTCAAGGTAACTCCTGCCCTGCTTTATTGCCAGGGGTTACATCCTGCCAACTGTCATTGGGAAGAGCAGCAGGCAGGGACACTTGTTTGCCTGTGTTGGTGTTAAATGGGAGCTGGGTGGGTACTCTGCCTCTTGTAATCCTGGTCCCTGAGGAGGCAAGGGTGCCCTGAAAAAGCTGCCCAGATGGGTGGTTCTTGGATCTTGATTTAGCAAGACCTTSAAGATATTTCTTCTGATGTGAGTGGGACTGGAGACCCCTTCCCTCGCTTCCAGAAACACAGACATTTCCCTTAGCTGAGCGTGTGTCAATTGGTGCTAGAGTGCAGCCCTCCCAAGCACTGTTCTAACCATCAGGCAGAGGGCTGAACATCACCGAGGAATTGTGGCTGCTTCTAGCTTACTTCTCATATACATAAAGGCAGCTGCCCAGAAAGGTTGCTATATGAAGCAGGCTCCCAGGCAAATGCTAAGGAGGATTAAATTGCATTTCTCTCCCTTGTGTCCACAGGCTTGAAGGCTTTCCGACAGCAACTGCGGAAGAACGCTCGAGCCAAGGGATTTCTTGGCTTGAATAAAATCAAGGGCTTTGCTCGGCAGGTGTGTCAGTCCTCCTGCTCCTCTCGGGCAGCAAGGAGCACCATGAGCCCCTTCCAACACACGCAGCCCAACACCTGTGTGTACAGCAGCAGCGGGAGCGGCAGGGAGGGGAGAAGCCTCCTGGAAGAGGTGCTCCAGCAGCAGAGGTGAGAAACTGCCCTGGAGGAGTCGTGTTGTTTCCATCTGGGTCGCTTTGCTGCGAGCTGGTAAAGCAGGAGTCRGGATAACAAAAGGGGGTTGGAATTCTGTTCCCTGGGGATTCCTTTCCTCTCATCTTTGCTGTGTGGCAGCAGATAAACTGCTTAACTTACTCCGTGCCTCCCTGGAAATGTGGCTCTATTCCCTGTGGCTCTGGGAAATGGAGCACAGGGCTCGCTGTTCCACTCAAATCATGATGTCCACGTATTTGGAGGTTGCTGAATTGAGACGTTCGTGGTACTGTAGGGAAAAACACTGCTTCTGCCTTTTGCAAGCTGTGTTCTTCTTTGTTAGTTTTGGGAATGCTTCCTTGCCTCCTCTGCCCTCCTGTAATTTTCCCATGACAAGGAAGTGTGAGACCTTGTAATTTGGAAAAGTTACAGCCCGCAAAGGAGGCACAGTTCCAGTGGCCTCAAATGTCATGTGCGGTGGCACCTCTTCATTCCCACTGAAGTGAGATGGAAAATTGAGCTTCTGGTTTATCTGCGTGTGTTGTCTCTAGAACATCTATTATTAGCAGGCTGGTTTGTGACCACGTAACTTTTTGGTGATAGTCTCCCTGTCTGACGTGAGGAAAAGCAAGTGAAAGCACAGTGACGTGGGAGGCAGTTCTTTCAGTTGCCCTGCCTGGGTAAGGAGAGGTTTCAGGTGGATAAGGAAATGGGAAAATTGTGATTGGGAGGTGAGAGCAAAAAAGGAGGGATGAACTGATGTTAGCAAAGAAAGTTAATCATTCCCACCCTTGGATTTTATTCAGAATGCTCCAGCTCCAGCATCACCAGCTGCTCCAGCCGGCGTGTCCCCAGACCTCTCAGCCCTCCGTAGCAAACGGCATSCCAGCCTCTGATGGCAGCAGCACGTGCAGAGCATCCAACTCGCTTCTGTTGTCCGAGCTGCAGCGGGAGAACTCCTTCGAGCTGGCCTTGGGTGGCCACAGCCAGCTGCTCCAACCGCACTTCTTTGGCGTGAGCGTGTCGCCGGTGTCCTCGGCAGCTCACCTCCTAGACACTCACCTCTACATCAGCGGCAGCGCTTCCCCGGGCCGCGCGCCCTTCTCCCAGCAGCAGAGCTTCTCCGCGCCGCCTCCGAGCTTCGACACCGTCGCTCTGCAGCACGGCGACTGTGAGATGGAGGACCTGACTTCCAGCCAGCTGGGCAAGTTCGTCCTGGTCAAATGAGAGCCCCAGCTGCTGCCACGGCTCCCGCCGCCCTCCGGCACCGAGCTCTGGCCGCCGCGCGGGGCCCTGCCCGGCCGGCGCCGGGCGCACGAGAGACTCTCAGAAGCAATAAATTTCGAAGGATGTGAAAAGGCTGCCTGGCTCGGAGAGCTAGCAACTTTACAGAACTGAAACAAGCAATATGTATGTCTCTTGGCTTCTACGATTCTTGCACTGAACAAATATGAATAGAAACTGGGTTTTTTTTTTCTTTTTTTTTTAAGGAAAAATAATGATGGGGAAGCTGGGTGGGGATTTTGTGGGAACAGGGAGGGATGTGGTTGGGGAGGAACTTTTCGGTACTGTACTCAAGTCAAGACCAATACAGCTCTGCTGTTATGCAAGATTAGCAGCTGTCAGTAGTGGTGAACACAGCAGGGAGAGGCTTTTCAAAGAAGGGACCAGAGCCTCCCTCTTTCACAATATTCGCTTATGGGTTTGTGAAAATGATTACCTCTTTTAAAGAAAATAAACAGAAAAACAGTGGCATGCACCATTTTGCACCCGTAGAAGACAAAAGGGGAAGCATGGCCATTTGTTTTATTTTCTTTTAAGTTCAGTTATAACACTCACCTTGTTCTAAAGGAACCAACATCCCCATCCCACATCTCCCAGATACTTCATATGAAAACTGTGAACTAACTTCTTGCTCGATTTGTCAGCTGGAAAAGCTAAAAAGGAAAAAAAAAAAGAAGTTCTAATCAGCACAGAAGAAATAATCTCTGGAAAATGTTTCCCTTTATATAATTTGGAACCTGATATAGTGTCTGGCCTTTGCGGGATGTGTTTGTCTGGGCCGGGTGTGTGTGCACCTCAATATRTATATGTACATATAGATGTGCACACACATGTAYGTATTCTGTAGGACTAAATAATCTTTAGAAATCAAAGGATTTCTAAAGGATTTTTAATAAAYGCTCATTTTTTTTCGTTTTCCTACAGAGGCACTGAGGGGGGAAGCATTAGTGTTGGCAGGGTGGCGGGAGGGGTTTTCTTCTTAAAAAGCCCTCCTGGAGGCTGCCCGTGCAGAGACCTGAGAGGTATTTCGTAGTGCTGCACGTTTTTATTTCCGCTGCTAATTATGTTTTTATGCATTTCATGATCAGGGTCCAAATAGAACTGACTCTTGGGGAAATGTGCAATATTGAGGTTATAATTATATGCTGACAAAGACAAAAGGAATAGACTAGAACAGAATTCTACTCGAACAGAGTACAGCTATTTCTGAACAAAACTGTATTAAAAGCGAGTAAAACAGCACAATCTTTGGGTGTTTGTTTTTGGTTGGTTTGTTTTTGGCATCTTAGCAAAAATAAGGTTTTGGATTAGGTAGGTGTTTTTACGTATGGTTTTTAACGCTGTGTATGTATATAAATAGGAAGCAGAAACCAATGTATGACACTAGTTATTTTTTTATACTTTGTAAGACGCTCCCTCTGTGGCGTTTCTGGTGTGCCGCAGAGGCTGCGCGCGGGGGGCAGCGGTCCGCCCGGCTCCCCGCCGCCACACTGGGTGCCTTCGCCTTCCCTTGGCTTCTCGCAACCCCCAGTATTCCGCGTTGGCAGCAATGCAGAGCCCGGCCTCTCTTATTTTGTTTTCATTTTCAACAAAAGCCAAAGATTGAGCAGGTTAGTGGGTGGGAGGGGGCAGGGTGGAAGATGTGGCTCTCCATAAAGCACCTCTGTGGCRGTGCGTGGTGCCCGTGGGGCCGCCTGGCTGCGTCCCCCGCTGCTGCTGCTCCCTGCTCCAGACACCTCAGCGTGRAATCGCCGAGTGACTGGTGCCTCGCAGCAGGGAAAACACCAAAGTTTCAAGCTAATTTATTGTGGTTTGAAAATAAAGAACACAAAGCAGTGCGGGAGATGACCGGAGAGGAGGGTGGGAAGAAGCCAGCTCCTGGCAAAGCAGCGACTCTGCCTTCGGCTGTGTCAGGGGCAGCACGTGTTCTTAAATCGCAGAATGGGTTCCTCTTGGATATTTGCTTTGTTCAAACGTTGTGGATCAAAAGGCCACAGATTCTTTTGTTTTCTGCCCTACGCAATGACAAGCACTTTACTTTCATAGTATTTTTTTTTCCCTTCTCCAATTGCTGTAGAACCTCTTTGGATTTATTGCAGGAACAGAAAGAGGTCATTTTAACAAGTTTGGGTTCTCCTTTTTTGTAGATATCTTTGACAGTGCTGTTCTGCAGACTGCAATGCAATAGGGTATTTAAGGACACTATGTGATTGGTTTAATTAAGATGTATAGTTTATTTTTTATCATGACTGAACAATCATTTTATTTCTTATGTTTAAATGAGATGTACACCAAAATGATTAGTTGATGTGTTTTATTTAATATTTAAATAAAAAATGTTTTAAAATTTTTGTTCTGCATACGGTTTTGTGGAGTGTTTCCTGCTCGTGCTGCCTGCGGGGTGATACAGGCCCCAGATACACGCATGTGCCTCGCACAGTTGAGACTCCTGCTAAAGCTTAAGTCCCTAGGACGTTGCTGACACTTTCTATTACATTACTAAATGAAGAGGAATGGCTACCTCGCAAATCTGATAATGGGATATTGAGCCTTTCACTGCTGGGCAATCTGTTTGAATCTAACCCGAGTCTGTAGTAATCAGGTTATAAAATCTGACAGTAAACGCGGCGCGCGGAGTGAAAATGGTCAAGCAGGGTTCGCTCGTTAGCAGATAAGCGCTCGCTCCGGGTCACCTTGACCCAGCAGAGGCCCCAGCGAGGCAAAGGCAAGTGGTGGAAAAAGCAGAGGGAAAGAGGGATGAAAGGGGAATTCCAAGATGCTGAGGTTTCTTCTTAATTAGAACCTTTCAAGTATAGTTTTGAGATTTCTTTTCAGGAACTTAGTGGCAAGGTCCAGGCTTTGTTAAGCTGGGGATACCTCTGCGCTGCGATGGGGATGCACCTTTACCTCGCAACAGCACCAGTTGCCTTTGAATCCAGTGGCTTGAAACTAGTGGGAATGTTATTTGCCAAGTGGGGCCTAGGGAGCAAGGAGGGAATGGTGAAAAGAAGGGGAAGCTCTGGATAGGCGGGAGGCCGGCAGGAAAAGGGGCCAGTGGGGACACGCTGGCAGAGGAGCTGGGGACAGCCRGGCCGACCCCTGCTTCCATGGCTGTGGAACAAAGATATCCTACCAGTTCCCCTGGCTCTTCCCCAGCTTTGCTTCATTCACTTCCTTTCCTCTGAGCCTCAGTCTCAAAAATCTCAAAAATTAAAGCAGGTGCTTGGWTGTAACCAGAGGTGATTTCTTATTCTGAGGCAGAAAGAGGCTGGTTGCTCAGCTGGAAAGGGCAGAGCTCTGTACCTGTTTGCCATGACTCTCGAACAGGTAGCAGTGTCACAAACGTTTTTCTAGTGCTTTGTCTCTGTGTGACTGCATCTGAACTTAAGATCTTTGCAACTATTAAAAATCATGGCAGAATTTCTGATTATTTTTTAACCTGACTGGTAATGCAAACTGGTTTAAGAATGATCCTGACTACTGATTTCAGTGAGGTTCTCAGTGCATTATTTGGAAAAAAAAAAAAAAAAAACAGTAATTCAGCAAAATCTCAAATTATTTCTTCTTACAGAAAATAATTCAGACTGACCAAGGGTACAGAGGGATCTCGACAGGTCCRTGATTCCTGTGAATTAGTAGGAAAAATGAGAACAAAGAAACCTTGGACTCAGTTTCCATGTGTACACTACTTAGCTCTTGGTGCTTTAGTCACTGTCTTCCTGCCTTTCCTCTGAAATCTGTCTCTGCTCCTGTTTACCACATTTGTTTTTGTCCTCTATATCTCTTGAGACGTTGTTTTTCTTGGCTTTGTTTCTCATGTTGCAACTTGGTACCTAGTTCCTTTTCCTTTCTTTTCCAGTGTGGAACTGGTGTTTTTCCCTGCTTCAGAAGGAACAGATGCTGGCAACGTTAACATGGCCCCAGAAGTGAATGATCAAGCCCTTTTTTCTTTATCTCCTTTTTTTTGAGAGGAAGTGCTTAGAGCTGGCAAGAGATGCTAGACCGGCAGCAATGAAAAACACAGGCTGTTTTTGCATGGAGCAAGTCGAGCACGGACACCCAGCTCAGCACTTTAGCGTTAGTGAAATCCAACTATGGCACAGAGGGATTCATCCCTCTCCTCCTCCCCTCCTGCAGGCGATGGATGACTTGCTCCCCAAACCCATGTGATAAGAGTGATAGTCACCCCTCGGCAAGGAAAGGACTCCACACGTCGAGTGTCATCGCTGGTTTGTCTTGGCCTGTGTCAGCTAGAAAGGACGAGCTGCAGAAGGGCGAGCATTTGAGTGTGCAAAATTATGGTGCATGAGATAGAAAGTGATCAGCGCTTCCGTTTGGGTCATCCCACAGGGTGAGAATAAGGCATGCTCCATGCAATGAGGGAGAATTAATTTAGGAACTAATAGGAGGAAATATGTGCCTCGGGGGGGGCATTGCTTCAGATACRGTTGCTGGCTTATTTCATGACTGCTAACTACTTTTGTGGTGACAGTTAAATCAATGATAAAGGTAATTCAGTGTCACGGTTTATGGATTTAAAAAAGTGACTATGGGAGGTCAAGAAAGAGCTAGTCTTTGGTGCACACTGCCAGGGGCATGGTAAATTTTTAGGACAGAAATGCCCTGTTCTACAATAACCAGAGGAAGACTTTCATGGGAAGTAAACAAACTTTATGATCACCTGCCATAATATCAGATTCCTTTTATAGGAATATATAGGCCTTATATTATCCGCAATGTATATGCAGTGATACTGACCCGAACCAAAGGTCCAGCCAAAGCAGCTTGTTTTAGAAAGAGATGCTTAGGAAAAGGGTGTAAGGATAGGGCAAGGATAACATGATCCTTCTGCAGTATTATCAGCTCAGCTGTGAGCGAACTGCAGCTAGGGGGATTGCTCAGTGCCATCCTGGTCATTGTGCTTGGCAGCTGCAGATGGGTCGAGTCTTCAAGAATTTGGC